GTTTTGTTCAGAAGTAGCTCCAGCTACTATAACAGCAACTGGCACGAAGTAGATCCTCAATAAAATAGTCTTTGAACAAATAAATTCATGAGCAAACGAATACTTTCTCTAGGCTTTCTCTTTTTATCCTCTTCTCTCTTCCTTTTCACTGATCCACATCTCTCTTTATAAGACCCCTTGAGAGGGAGTAGAGTGCAATCACAGAGCCATCATAAATCTTTCCCAGATCACCTTCAGCCACTGTTCAGAGAAAGCTGACATGGGAAACATAAATTCTAACACTGAGACATTAACCATGAGAAAGAAACAATGCTTTTGGAGTTCGTGGTAGACTCAGAAAACAGTCAGCCTACTGTGGTAAGAACAAACATGGGCAGAGAGCTGTAAATCGTAGTAGCAAACTCAAGATGAGACCTCAGGAGTGAACACAGTACCTGTGTAGCCTACAATCATGTAAGTATTGTTATTATTATGAATTTTACTTCTCAATCTTGCTTCCACTTAAATATTCCAGTGGATTTCAAAATGGACAAAAGCATGAGTTACTCCAATTATTCCTTAATCTATTCAAAAGAATAAATCCTTTAATATACACTGCAGGTAAAATACAACCCCCAAGTAAAGTTAACTGTAATCCAGGGTAAAAGCTCTGTTGGCCTCATAAGCTACTTGGGAAAAAAGCATTAAAAGTGACTTCACAACACACAAACAAAATGCTGTCACTGACAAGGCACCTTGAAGTGCCATTAATAAGACACGATTACCAAGAACTGAAATCAGATGTAGACATCTTGGCTCTCTCCAGTCCTAAGCACTCTACATATTTCTTTTCAACTTTCAAGAATTGAAGGGGGATAGGGAGAGGCAAGAGCAGACACTGGGGCTATTTCGAGGAATAAAAGGAATCAAAAGCTAAAATGCAACTTCCACTAACATAGAAGATCTCCAAGGAAAACTGGTGAAAGTTCTCTATCTATAGCACAATATAGAAACAACTCAGTTTCCCAACTTAGGAAATCATCTTCTCAGTTAAGTTTCATGTA